TGGGGTTGGGGGACAGGTATCAGCAGTTCCCTGGCAGGGCCTTGAGAGGATTAGTGATAATATATGGAATGTGCTTGTCACACAGTGCCTGGCACATAGTGGTGCTCTATCATTAGGAACTGGAATGATTAAATTCTGTCAAAGACAGTTTTAATTAATAGGAAGGGGGTGGCACAGGTGGAGTTTTGGAATAGGGGGTGTGGTAAATGGAATTTTATCAACCTTTCTGATTCCTGTAGTCTGGGCAGGTTAGGATTTCAGGGGTGGCTTGAGGGTGGGGCTGGAGGCTTGGGAGGGACCTATCAAGATCTGCAGGGAGGGGTGACTAAGGCTGCCTGGATGATGGTGGGGGTGGTGGGCTATGTCTCCCCTTCCCCTCTCCACCCACATGTCCCAAGCTCCATCATTTCTCCACAGCGAAGGGGCAGAACTCAGGCACCACGACACTCAGGTCCAGCACTGTGAGGACATCCTGCAGCAGCTGCGGGCTGTGGTACCCCAGATAAACATGGAAGGGGATCGCAACATCTGGATCGTGAAACCAGGAGCCAAGTCTCGCGGACGAGGTGGGGGTCAGCTCCTACTTCCTGCATTGGTACCCCACAACCTGCATCTCCCACTAGAGGCCAAGGAAGTGAATAGTGCAGGCTTACTGAAGCCAAATTGCTTGGGTTTGAGTCCCAGCTCTACTATTAATATTCTTCATGACCTTTTAGCAGGTTATATCACCTCATCTGTGAAATAAAGAGGATGATAATACCTCCTGTGAGGTGAGGAGTAAATGCAGTCATGCATCTAAAGCACTATTCCAAATCCTTAACATGCTTTAATTTATATAATGCAGGGAAACTGAGCACGTGTAGACTCTCACGTGACCCGGAAGGATATCGTAAGGACCTGGAAGCAGCAGTTGGCTGCCTCTGGACAAGGAGATGTACTTGTTATTGTATGCCCTTTTGTACTATCTAATTTTTGGTTTTATAGTCTGTTTATTATTGGTGGGAAAGCAATATGTGCACATGCTTTTAAAAAGCCCAACGCTGGCCAGGTGCAGTGGCTCACACTTGTAATCCTAGCACTTTGGGACCCTGAGGCGGGAGGATCACTTGAGGTCAGGAGTTGGAGACCAGCCTAGCCAACATGGTGAAACCCTGTCTCTACTAAAAATAAAAAACTTAGCCTGGCATGGTGGCAGGCACCTGTAATCCCAGCCACTTGGGAAGATGAGGGAGGAGAATCACTTGAACCCAGGAGGCAGAGGTTGCATTGAGCTGAGCTCGTGCCATTGCACTCCAGCCTGGATGACAGAGGGAGACTCCATCTCAAAAACTAAAAAACAAAAAAGTCCAACACTTTAAATTTTTATTCAGGTACATATTCCTGTTTAATCAAACAAAACTGGTTAATTAGGAAAAATTTAAAATCCTTAGCAAATTCCTGGCTTTTCCAAAGGGAACTGGGTTCTAATTGAGGGAGGCAGCCTTACCCATGCAGCCTTGTCAGCTCTGTGGATGAGAGCTCATGACAAGCTGGCCCTTCTCCCAGCCCACGCCTGACCTCCCAATTCCTGACTGCTCTTTTCCGGCATAGGCATCATGTGCATGGACCACCTGGAGGAGATGCTGAAGCTGGTGAACGGCAACCCCATGATGATGAAGGACAGCAAATGGGTGGTACAAAAGTATATTGAGCGGCCCCTGCTCATCTTTGGCACCAAGTTTGACCTGAGACAGTGGTTCCTGGTAACTGACTGGAACCCACTTACTGTGTGGTTCTACCGTGACAGCTATCTCCGCTTTTCCACGCAGCCATTCTCCCTGAAGAACCTGGACAAGTGAGCCCCACTGCTCGCCTCCCACGAGCTCCCTCCCTAGTTGGGGAGCTGGCAAGCAAACAGGCGGTTACAGTACAAGGGACTTATGTAGCAGTGGTGGGCTCCATACACATGCTGCAGGCAGGCGGGCGCCCTCATCCAGCCAGCTGTCCTTGCATCCAACAGGTTTTTTTTTTTTTTTAACAGATGGACAGTCTCACTCTGTTGCCTAGGCTGGAGTGCAGTGGCATGGTCATGGCTTACTGCAGCCTCGACCTCCTGTGCTCAAGCAATCCTTCCTCTGCAGCCTTCTAAGTAGCTGAGATCACAGGCATGTACCACAGCTGACTTTTAAATTTTTTTATGTAGAGATGATGTCTCACTATGTTGCCCAGGCTGGTCTCAAACTCCTGGGCTTAAGTGATCGTCCCACCTCGGCTTCCCAAAGTACTGGGATTACACTGTGCCTGGTCCCTCCAACAGATTTGACTGAGTGTGTACCCTGTGCCATTACTGTTCTGGGCACTTGGGATATAGCAGTGAACAAAACAAGATCCCCACTCTCAACGGTACATTCTAGCAGGGAGAAACAGAGAAGCAATGAATACAAGTGAAATTCTCTAACAGGTTAAAGGATTATATGTGTCATTGGGAAAAGGGAAGCAAATGTAGAGCAGGGGAAAGGATGTCAGGAGTTTTGAAAGGCAAGATGTTGTGTTAACTTCTGGGGTGAGAGAAAGCCTTGAAGCCTAAATTCGAATTCTGTTTCTACAGCTTCCAAGTTGTTTGACTCTGGGTCATATGAAAACCTATTTAAGTCTCAGTTTCCACATCTGAAGAAGGGAGGCAGTAGTATGAAACTCATAGCTGTCAATTATTGAGTGCTTCATATGTGATAGTGCTGAGCACTTTGTATATGTTATCTCATTCTTCATAAGAACCCAATGAATACTTCCTGTTCACCAGGTCTGAAGAAAAAAAAAACACAATGAAGTGGGTACTGTTACTACCCCCATTTTGCAGATGTGAAGAGCATGCAGGTTAGATGACTTGCCTAAGATCTCACAACTAGTGTGGAGATGGCATCCTGGTGATGATAGAGCCATACCCTTACCCACCCTCTCATCTTCCAAGCACTGGGATGGTTAACTGAGACTATGCACAAAGCACTTAGTACTGTGGCTCCTGTAATTGACGCCCTCAGAGCAGCCCTGAAAGATAAGAGTGGTTCTGGCCTTAGAAGAATGTGGTGGGGCCCAGGCCTCTGTCCTTTTTGTCCTTCCCAGTAGGGCCCCATCTCAAGTTGAACAGTGCAGGGTGGCCCAGGGCTGGTTCCAGGATTTGCCTGTCCTCCCTGAGCTTGGATGAGAGGGGCACAAGGGCCTGGATCTCAGCTTTCTGCTCTCTGCCCCAGCTCAGTACACCTGTGCAACAACTCCATCCAGAAGCACCTGGAGAACTCGTGCCATCGGCATCCACTGCTGCCTCCAGACAACATGTGGTCCAGCCAGAGGTTCCAGGCTCACCTGCAGGAGATGGGGGCCCCAAATGCTTGGTCCACCATCATCGTGCCTGGCATGAAGAATGCCGTGATCCATGCACTTCAGACCTCCCAGGACACTGTGCAGTGTCGGAAGGCCAGCTTTGAGCTCTATGGCGCTGACTTTGTGTTCGGGGAGGACTTCCAGCCCTGGCTGATTGAAATCAATGCCAGCCCCACCATGGCACCCTCCACGGCAGTCACCGCCCGGCTCTGTGCTGGCGTGCAAGCTGACACCCTGCGCATTGTCATTGACCGGCGGCTGGACCGCAACTGTGACACAGGAGCCTTTGAGCTCATCTATAAACAGGTGAGGAGGTCGGACCCAGGCAGAACCCCAGAGAGTCTGTGCCCTATTTCAGGCAGCCCCATACTAGAGCATAGGGCTCTGCAGTCAGACCCAGTTTAAGACCCAGATTCAAGTCCTGGTCCTGCTAAGGTGACCTCACCTCCCTGAGCCTCAGGCTCCTAATCTTTGAAATGGGGATATTATTACCATCTTTCTCATGGGGATGGGAGAATAAAATGAATTAGTATATTTCTAGAGAGGCATATAACATAGTCCTAAGAGCAGAGACTCTGGAACCTCCTTGGGTTCAAATTCCTGTTCAGTGACAACGAGCTGTGTGACTTTGGACAAGTTCCTAACCCCTGGGTTTCCTCATCTGTAAGAATAAAAATAGTACCTAATTCTCAAAGTTAGATACTATGAGTTGTATGAATTAAATGAGTTGATAAGTAAAGTACTTCATTTTTATTTATTTACTTTTGAGACAGAGTCTCACTCTGTTGCCCAGGTGGGAGTGCACTGGCATAATCTTGGCTCATTGCAACCTCCACCTCCCGGGTTCAAGCAATTCTCCTGCCTCAGCCTCCCAAGTAGCTGAAATTACAGGTATCCGCCACCACACCTGGCTAATTTTTGTATTTTTAGTAGAGACAGGGTTTTGCTATGTTGGCCAGGCTGGTCTCGAACTCCTAAATTCAGGTGATCCATCCACCTTGGCCTCCCAAAGTGCTGGGATTACAGGCAGGAGCCACCTCGCCCAGCCCGTAAAGTACTTTAGAATAGTGCCTGGCATATAGTAAATGCTAATAAGTGTTAGTTATTGTTGTTACTACCTAATGAGGTTAGGAGTTTCATCATGCATAACCTGTCAAGTGCCTAGATATATAGTAATAGGCAATTACTGGTAGCTACCATTATTATTATTATCATTATTTCACTCATCTTGCTCCAAAAAGAGATTGGAATCTACTTGTAAAATAGAACAGCATTTTAAAAAATTAGAAAATTGATTTCAAGCCTTTCTAAGCTCTGGATAGAATTTCTTGTGGCAGTTTAAGTGGCTTCTGATTAGCATTTGGCTTCTGTCAAGGTTTGGTTACAGGAAGAGAATGTAATGATCACACGTAAGTGTAATAAAGATCTTGTGTTTATTACAGTTATAGATCATTTCTTAGATTAGTATACTGGCATTCTGGTTTCAAAAAATGTAAATGGGGAAATACACAGGCAAGCTGAGGGAAAAGGTGCCATTGTAGTGCAGTGCTCCCAATGCCAGTGCCCAGGCCAGAAGCAGCTGAAAGCTGCTATGGATGTCAGGGGGCTCCACCCCAGAGATTGACCCCAAATCCAAAATGTCTAGCTTGGGAAGGAGACTACGCATCTGCATTTTTCAAATGACTCCCAAATACCTTTTTTTTTTTGAGACAGAGTCTCACTCTGTCACCCAGGCTGGAGTGCAATGGTGTGATCTTGGCTCTGCAACCTCCACCTCCCAGGTTCAAGTGATTCTCTTGCCTCAGCCTCTTGAGTAGCTGGGACTATAGGTACCCACAACCATGCCTGGCTAACTTTTGTATTTTTAGTAGAAATGGGGTTTTACCATGTTGGCCAGGCCAGTCTTGAACTCTGGACCTCAAGTGATCCTCCTGCTTCGGCCCCTGCAAAGTGCTGGGAATACAGGCATGGGTCACTGCGCCCAGCCCCCTAAATGTTTTTTATTGCTGATTTGTTCTTTAGGCCAGCACATAATGAAGGCTCACATCTTGCACTTTTTTGTCTCTTTTCATCTAGGCCAGCCCCAGTGTCTTTTGTCCCCATAGTTTTGATCTTTTGAGGGGCCAGGCTGGTTGTTTTGTAGAACTGTCCCACATTCTGGATTTATCTGATTGTTTCCTTATGGTGTTATTTACCTTGGTCTTCTGTTAGCTGATTGTCTCAGAAATTATTAGTTAGGTCAAACAGCTTGATGAGTTCAGGTTAAACATTTCTGGGAAGAGCACTTCAGAGGTGATGCCAGATATGTCATGTGGCATCACAAGGCACATCCTGTGTCTCACGGTTAGTGCTGCTGAGTTTGACTCTGGGTTACAGTGGTGGCTACCAGAGCTCTCCATGATAAAAGCTACATCTACCCTTTGCAATTAATTTTTTTGTAAGGTAATGTGTTGGCTGTTACAGATTATACATTTTCCTGTCATCCTTTTATCTAATTGTTTTGATACCAGTTTTGATTACTGCCTATTTTATTGGAGTTGCAAAACAGCAAATGTCTAATTCTGTTGTTTCTTCTGCATTTATTAGCTGAGATTCTTCTGTAAAGATGAGCTTTCTCTCATCATCTGGGGCTACTCGGGAGTCCTGATAGCTGTATTTTTATTTCTTTCTTTCTTTTTTGAGACAGAGTCTCACTGTGTCACCCAGGCTGGAGTACAGTGGCACTATCTATCTCTGCTCACTGCAATCTCTGTCTCCTGGGTTCAAGTGATTCTCCTTCTCAGATCCTGAGTAGCTGTGATTACAGGTGCCCACCACACCTGGATAATTTTTGTGTTTTTAGTAGAGATGGGGTTTTACCATGTTGAGCAGGCTGGTCAACATGAGGTCATGATCACTCCTGAACTCAGGTGATCCACCCACCTCGGCCTCCCAAAGTTCTGGGATTATAGGCGTAGCCACTGCACCTGGTGATAGCTGTATTATTATTATTATTATTATTATTATTATTTTGAGATGGAGTTTCACTCTTGTTGCCCAGGCTGGATGCAATGGTACCATCTGGGCCCACTGCAAGCTCCACCTCCTGGGTTCAAGCGATTCTCCTTTCTCAGCTTCCTGAGTAGCTGGGATTACAGGTGACTGCCACCATGCCCAGCTAATTGTTTTGTGTTTTTAGTGGAGACAGGGTTTTGCCATGTTGGCCAGGCTGGTCTCAAACTCCTCACCTCAGGTGATCTGCCAGCCTTAGCCTCCCAAAGTGCTGGGATTACAGATGTGACCATTGTGCCTGGCTGATAGCTGTATTTTTAACAAGCTCCAAATAATTCTGATGTTTAGACAGATTCTGATCAGGATCCTTCAGTGGCACAGAAGACACCTCCAACTAGCTCCAGGTTGCTGGCAAGGCACAGGGAGCTCTCCTGGAGCCCAACTGAGGGCAGGACATACAACTTGGCCTGATAGGAACTGAGAGTTGTAAGGGAGCTCCTCTCTTGGACCTGTCTCTCTGCCTTCCTCTGCATATTCGGTACTTCATTCTTTCCACAGACTGTCTTCTTTAAGGTTCTTAATTTTTGCTTCCCCATAACCTGCGTTCACACGAGGCTCTAGGCAGGCTCCAAGCCTCTTACCTGTCTGAGTGGCATAACTAAAATTCCCTGTGCAGAGAATCTGATTGGCTCAGCTCAGGAAGCTGTGCACCAGCGGCGGCCTATGCAGCGGAGCCACACACATTCCAGCAGGGGATGGGGGCAGCTTAGGAGGACAGTGTGGTGGAGGGGTGCTGGTGGGGCATGGCTAGGATTCCTCCATTCCTCTGGGCTGGCAATCCCTGGAGCTCTGTGACTCCAGGTACTGACTCAGAGGTGGGCTTTCCATTTCTCAGCTCAGAAATGTCTTTTTGACCAGGTGCCTCAGAAAGTAATTCTACCCGTCTCTGCCCTGGGTCCCGCTGGGCTAAGGATTCCAGCACCACTGAGTAGGCCTTGTCTCCTCTTCTTGCCCACAGCCTGCTGTGGATGTGCCCCGATACGTGGGCATCCAGCTCCTGGTAGAGGGCTCCACCATCAAGAAGCCCATGGCGATGTGTCATCGGCGGATGGGGATCCGCCCAGCACTCCCCCTGCTGACCCAGCGAAGCTCTGGGGAAGGCAAGGACTCGGGGACCCCTACCCACAGGTCAGCTTCTAGGAAAGATGCTGGGGCCAGGAGCCTGGAGCACAGTGAGAAGCCAGACTCCACTGCCACCACTTCAGACCCCGGAAAGGGGAAGAAAGGCAAGGCAAAAAGTACCACAGCCCTGGTCTGCCCCAATCTCTGGGAATGGGATCTCACCAGCACCAGGTTGGGGTGCATTTTCACCATGACCTTTTCTAGTGGGGACAGGCAACCCCACCCCTTGAACAGATTGCCACCGAGTCCGAAAAACCCCCAGACCCTGGGTAAGACCATTCCCCCCAAACACCTGAGGGTCCCAAGGCAATTTACCTGCTCTGTAGGCTCCTTCCAACCACCTGGATCAGCCTTCCCACCAAAGAGCCTCCTGTAGCAAGTAAAAGCCACTGCTCACAAAGTATTCTTTAAAAATACACAGCTAAATTAGCTGGGCATTGTGGCGTGACCCTGTGGTCCCAGCTACTTGGGGGGCTAAGGCGGGAGGATCACTTGAGCCTGGGGAGGTCCAGGGTACAGTGAGTTATGATCACACCACTGCACTCCAGTCTGGGAGACAGAGCGAGATGCTGTATTCAAACAAACAAACAAACAAAAAGCACTTTGGGAGGCTGAGGCAGGTGGATCACCTGAGGTCAGGAGTTTGAGACCAGCCTGGGCAACATGGTGAAACCCCATCTCTACTAAAGAATACAAAAATTAGCCAGGTGTGGTGGCAGCCACCTATAATCCCAGCTACTCCGGAGGCTGAGGCATGAGAATTGCTTGAACCTGGGAAAAGAAGGTTGCAGTGACTCAAGATTGCACCACTGCACTCCACTCTGGGGAACAAGAGCAAAACTCCATCTCAAAAAAAAAAAAAAAAAAGAACCACTTGGCAAAATAAGTATTGTGTCCTCCAGAGTAGTCACTTTGCAAGGCAGTTATCCTTATTTCAGAGATGCCAGGACTCAAGCCCACGTTGCTCTCTCCAGCGCCCATGCTTTCCCACTGCAGTATTCTGCCTTTGCGTCCAAGCAGAGTCACCTCTGGGGAAAAGAACTAACATGTGTCCAGCACTTAACAGTTTGCCCCATGTTGCTACCTACCCAGCTCCTTTAGGCCTCACACCAACCTAGCAAGGTAGGTGCTATTATCCCCATTTTCCAGCCGAGGTATCAGGAAGTTGGAAGTTGCCCAAGGTTGCACAGCTCAGAAGGGGCAGAGCTGGGATGCAGACCCAGGTCTGTTGGACTCCGCCTTGTGTTCTTCTCACTGCCTCTGGAGGAGGAACTGGGAGGTCTCCATCTGCCCTTACCCCACCCCTTCCACATCTCCCTGTCCTCCACACACACTGTTTAGGGCAGCTGGGCCACCTTGGGGCCTCACCAGGCCCTCACAGTTTCTTTTGCTCCCACAGCCCCTCACCACTTCCCCAGCCTCCACACCAAGGCCCAGCTGCCTTCTCCCCATGTACTCCGACACCAGGGCCAGGTCCTCAGACGACAGCACAGCAAACTGGTGGGCACTAAGGCCCTGTCGATCACAGGCAAGGCCTTGAGGACTCTACCCACGGCCAAGGTCTTCATTTCCTTCCCACCTAACCTTGATTTCAAGGTGGCACCCAGCATCCTGAAGCTAAGAAAGGTGGGCCTTGAACTGTGACTCACACCCAGTGGGCAGTGCTGAGCACGGGGTCAGGGCTGGAGGGCACAGGCAGAGTGCAGCTCCCAGGCTGGCTGGTACCCCAAGGGAAGAGCTTGTCTTCCTCAGAAGCCTCTTCCTTAACAGACTCTTGATCATCTCCCTCTTCTCCCCTCCTTTCACCTCGAGGCTCCTGCTCCCCTGTGCCTCCGAGGCCACCACCTGGAAGTGCGTTGTTGCCTCTGCCCTTTGAAGTTGGAACAACTCCTACCACCCATAAGAAAGTCAAGGCCAAAGGCAAGTTCAAGGCCAGACTGTGACAAACCCAGGGCTGAGGACGGCCCTGTGAAGAGGCTAAGCCCCCTGAAACCTCTGCCCCTCGTCGGTACATTCCAGAGGTGAGGAGGCCTGGGGGATATGAAGCTAGGGAAGCTCCTGCTTCAATTTCCCACTGCCCTTGTCCTGGATCCAACACCAAATAAAAAGAAACAAGTGGAGTATTTGGGGCTTGGCTTCATTGCTGTTGGAGGGTCAAGAGTGGGTGGGGCAAGGCCCTGTACCCCGGGGTGCACAACAAGAGCCAGAGGCCGTCAGCAGCTCCTCCGAGCTGCGAGGCCCAGAATTCCCCATCTAGGGACAGATATGGGGCTTCCTATTGAGGGACTCCTCTAGCATCTCGGATCTGGGGGTGGGGAGCATGAGGTTTCACTTCACAGATGAAGAAACTGAGTCTGAAAGAGGAGGCATGGCTTGCCCAAGATCACATGGCAGTGAGTAGAGGGCAGGGACACACTGCTAGAACTGCCGACCACTGGGAGCCCCCCAACCCTGGAGAACAAGCCAGGCTGGCAAAATGACACCTGGGGGCATAGGAATGTTAATGCCATGACATGGGAAAGAGTGGACCTTGCCTAAACCTCAGCCCTTCTGTAGAGGGAGTAGGTCGATCCCTTCCTCAGCAAGGGGCCAAGGTCACCTAAAAAGGAAATATCCACAAGCCACACCCACCTGAAGAAAAGTGTGGCACTACCTAGTTGTGGGTTGAACTGTAGTCCCCCCAAAAGAGATGTCTACCTGGATCCTGTGAATGTGACCTTACGTAGGAAGAGTCTTTTTCTACATAACGGTGGCTCATGCCTGTTACCCCAACACTTTGAGAGGCCAAGGCAGGAGGATCGCTTAAGCCCACAAGTTTGAGACCACTCTGGGCAACATGGTGAAACCGTTTCTACAGAAAACTAGCTGGGCGTGGTGGCACGTACCTGTAGTCCTAGCTACTCAGGAGGCCGGGATGGGAGGATTACCTGAGCCCGTGAAGATCAAAACTGGTGAGCCATGATCACGCCACTGCACCCTGAAGCTGGGAGACAGAGTGAAACCCTGAATCAAAAAGTCTTTGCAGATGTAAATAAGTTTAAGATCTTAGATGAGATAATCCCAATGACCGGTGTGGTGCTTACATTCAATGACAAGTGTCTTTATAAGAAAGGTAAGGGCCAGTGGCTCACTCCTGCAATCCAAGCATTTTGGGAGGCTGAAGTGGGTGCAACACCTGAGGTCAGGTTTTGGAGACCAGCCTGGCCAACATGGCAAAACCCTGTCTAGTAAAAATATATAAATTCACTGGGCGTGGTGACGTGCCTGCAATTCCAGCTACTTGGGAGGCTGAGGCGGGAGAACTGCTTGAACCCGGAGGTGGAGGTTGCAATGAGCTGAGATCTCGCCACTTCCAGCCTGGGTGACAGAGTGAGACTCCACCTCAAAAAAAAAAAAATTAGCAGGGTGTGGTGGCACATGCCTGTAATCCCAGCAGAACTGCTTGAACCCAGGAGGCAGAGGTTGCAGTGACTGGAGCTGCACTCCAGCCTGGCAACAGAGACTCTGACACACATTCAGACACACACACACGCACGCACGCACAAGGAGGCTGAGGTGGGAGAGTTGTTTGAGGCCAAGGCAACAGAGAGTCTGACATGCACACATACATACACAAAGGAGGCTGAGGTGGGAGAACTGCTTGAGGCCAGGAGTTGGAGGGCCAGGGCAACAGAGACTCACACACACACACACCAGGCCAGGGCAACAGAGACTCTGACACACACACACACACACACACCCC